AAAAACATATCTGAAATTTATGTAGCTGCAAATGATTAAAATTTGTGATAGAGACAGGAAAAGATTTGAAACTGAAGAAAACATTTTCCCTGGAAATGTCTTTCCTGTTCTTCAAAAGGATGGAAGTTATAGGTATGAAAGCCATAATAGTTTAGAAGGAAATAGGATATATCCTTAGGATTAGTGCCTTGCCAGTATAGAACTTGCCATTATTCAAATTAATAACATTAAAATCATAAATCATTATTTTAAAAGTTTAGAATTAAAAAATGTCACAACTCAGGCTTATTCTACCTCAATGTAAATTTAGAGGTGTTATATGAACAAATAAAACTTTGGAAACTAGGTTAAAAATTGAGATATGAGGGGCTTCCCTGGTGGCGCAGTGGTTGAGAGTCCACCTGCTGATGCAGGGGACACGGGTTCGTGCCCCGGTCCGGGAGGATCCCACATGCCGCGGAGCAGCTGGGCCCATGAGCCATGGCCGCTGAGCCTGTGCGTCCAGAGCCTGTGCTCCACAACTGGAGAGGCCACAACAGTGAGAGGCCCGCGTACCAAAAAAAAAAAACAAAAAAAACAACAACAAAAAATTGAAATATGAGTGAAGTTGCTAATCATAATTTTTCTTTCGATAAAAAGACAAAAACCACTTATATCAATTACCATCACAGTCCTTGGCTTTTCGTGGGTTTTCTAATTGAATAACAGCTGAAAAATTATAAAGTCAGTGTCCTTCTTCATATAAACGCATATTCCTATGGCTGTAAAAATGATGAAATCCAAATTTAAGTGCTTTCCACATTCATAATTTCAATTGACCCTAGAACTAATCCTATAAATTAGGCTGGTATAATTATTTCTTTCAATCTTATGGGGAAAAACAGAACAAAAAAGAGGCTTGATCCTTCGTCTTTTGGTACTTGGCATTATTTTGTGTCCTTTTTTTTTAGTTACAGTACTTTCATCTCTTTTATAAATCCCCTGATCCTAGCTCTTTTCTCCTTTAATTTTACAGGTTTTCATTTTCAAAGCATTAACCATGTTCAACAGATACCTCCCCTCCCCCTAATCTTTGAACTTCCTCTTGTCTACAACAGAAACTATGGAAAGTAATTTATACAGAAGACAAGAGAGGAAGTGAAAGGCTAACGAGGTTATTAGAAGTCAGAAAAGTGACTGAAAAAGGGAAGAAGGTTCAGAATTTCAGAAGGAAATGATGGATGGTTGCTCATGCAACAAATCTTGGTGACTTCTTATCTCTTTCACTTCATCCATCCTGTTAACTCAGAAATAATGCTGCTTTTCTAGAAACTCACTTCTACGTCAAGAGTCACCTTTTGCCAAAATCATTAGACGCTGGCTGATTCTTGTAGGAGAAAATTACATTCTCTTTGTAAAGACATTGGAAATAATATTTTTTTTTTTAATGGAAAAGAATATCTCCTAAGGATCACTAGTTATTTGAGGAAAAACTTTATTTATTTATTTATTTATTTATTTTTTGCGATACGCGGGCCTCTCACTGTTGTGGCCTCTCCCGTTGCAGAGCACAGGCTCCGGACGCGCAGGCTCAGCGGCCATGGCTCACGGGCTCAGCCGCTCCACGGCAGGTGGGATCTTCCCAGACTGGGGCACGAACCCGTCTCCCCTGCATCGGCAGGCAGACTCTCAACCACTGCGCCACCAGGGAAGCCCTGAGGAATAACTTTAATATAAAGTATTAAACAAACATAAAAAATGTAAAATATAAAAACAAACATAAGAAAAGTGACTTAGGAATAAATTCTCTGAAGTGTTCTGATCTGTGTTAGAGTTTTTATCACTGATGTCCCCAGAATTAGATAAGATACTGTGTCTTTGAAAGCAGAAAAGATCTTATAAACAGAAACATTTGAAGAATAAAAGATGTTCTTAAAAATTAAAAATGTAATAGCAGAAAAAAATTTTCAAAAGATATTAGAGGATAAAGTTGAAGAAATATTTCAGAGTACAATGAAAAAAGATAAACCATTGGAAAATAGAAGAGAAAAGATAAAAAAGTAAAAGGATATTCCAGAATGTCCAACATCTAAAACAAAGGAGTTCCAGAAACAAAGAACACTGTAAGCAAGGATCAAAACTATCAGAGAAATAAATCAAAAATATTCTTCAGAAAAGAAGGACATGTTTTTCCACATTAAAAGGTTTACTGAGTGCCTAGAACTATAGAGGAAAAGAGATTCCCTTCAATAACAAAGATCATGTAATTGTAGGGCACCAGAGAGAAAGAGAATTTCTAGAATCATACTCCTTGATAACAACTAACAAAAACTAGAATCTAACAGAACCAGACTTTCAAAATTATTGTCATCCTAGAATTCTCTACCCAGCCAAGCTACCAATTAAGTTTGGAGGTAAGACAAAGTCATTTTTAGACATGCAACATTTCAAGGAATTTATTTCCTATGCCTGCTTTCTCAGTCAGCTCCTGGAGGATGTGCTCCATCCTCCAGGGAGTAAACTAAAAAAGAGGAAGATCTGGGATACAGACAGTAAGGAACCCAACACAAGAGCAAAGCAAACAGAATCCTTGGAATGATGCTAAAAGGAAGATTCAAAGACAACAAATATTCACCAAGTCTAGATAGCAACTGGTCCAGATGAGCAGATCAGAAGGTGACAGGGAGATTCTTCAAGAAGCTAAAATTGAAAAAAAACACATAGTATGTTGAATGTATTAAAAGAAGATTTATACTGAAGATTAGTTTTGTTGAATTTCATAAATACATAGAACATTAAGCATATGAATACAGAAAGACTGGGTTGCAGGACACAGGGAAGCTGTACCAGAAAAGACACCACAGTATAGTATATACTACTTGTCATAGCTATAGCTAGCACCTGCATTGTCATAATGTAAATAGCTACCTAACAAAAGTTATGATATAACTATACTGGAATGATAAGAGACCATGAAGCATGTGTGTGTGTGTGTGTGTGTGTGTGTGTATGAGAGAGAGAGAGAGAGAGAAGGATGTGAAGGTAAGGTGGGAGATTGTGAAAGTGAGCTAAATACTCAACTTTCATAATGGGAAGTCTGTATGTAGATAATACCAAATCTGAAAAAGCAAGAAATAGCAATATTATGAAGTTATATGGATGTAAGGATTTAAATTATAAAATAACCAGCTAAAATAGTTGAAATGTATTTCCTCTGGGGATCAGGATATGGAGAAGGTGAAGAATAAAGGACTGCTGTTTTTTGTAACAAGGTTTTAGAGTCTGTAAACATGCACATGCATAACTTGGGTACAATTTAAAATGGAATCGGAAACAAAGCAATAGCTATAGAAAGCAAAATAGATATATAAATCATTCTCTTATTACTTAATAAAAGCTATGGATACATTATCTAAAGATCTATCTTAAAAATTACTAGTATTATAGCATATGTTTGGCTATGGCCCTTAATGTCATTTTTTAAAAAATTACGTAGTTGTCAGTAAAACATCAGCCTGGTTAGTTTTGAAGAGGCCATGGCTGGCTAAAGGGTTCACTGCTGAACGAAAGTCTATGAAAAAGTTTTGTGAATATGGCAGCAGACTCTTGAAGCTCCTTGGAGAGCCACAAACTATTTCTGAGTTGCTGACATTTTGCTAACTTCTTTGGGCATCACACTGCCATTGTCAACATTGCCTGGAGCTTTGGTATAAAGATGGATAAGTGTTAGTATGGAAAGAAAATTAGTTTCTCTTAGCCTGGCCACATCGGAGGGGAAGATGGCTTATGGGGTCTTTGGATCTATTTAAATTCTCTTTATATGGGGAAGTTTGTGATTGTCTTTGAAGAGGGATGGCTTTTAGAACATTTATAAAGAGAAGAAGCATCTATGACATTAATCATCAATCACACCTTTCTTCTTCTTTTCAGGCTCCCCTTTAACCTGGCTCTTCTGTATTCTGCAGGAACTTGTCCTCTTTGGGTTTCCAGTTAGTGATAGTGACAAAGCTTCAGCCCTTCAAACTCAAAAACACCTTAAGACATAAAGTTATGAATCACTAGGGAAAAAAATCCTCATTGTAGCATTTCAATCAGAGGAGGAATCACTGTTTCTTATCACAGAGCGAAAGCTGACATTGTAGGCTGGCCTCCTCTTTGACCACGGTCTCCATCACAGACTCATTCCTTCCCACTTAGACCTGGATCACAACTTTCTCAAGTTACCAGTGATTTTTAGAACAATGCCTAACAGAGTCCAATCCATTAATTGTCCCTGTAAATGAAACCTATGCTGTGGCAGTTGATCCCTCTGCTGGAGAAAGCTCTCTACCTATACCTGACCTCATCACACTCTCCCCAAACACACTGTCACCTGACTCCTGCTATCCTTCCATTTTCAGCATGTCACTTTCTCCCAGAAGGTAGGTTAGATGCCCCTGCTATAAGTTTATCATGACAATTAAACAGCTGATAACAAGGTAATGTGCTAATTGCCCATTTCTCCTTTTGAACTACAAGATTTTTAAGGACAGAAAGGTTTCTTTTTTTTTTTTTCACCATTGCTTTTTTCCAGACCTTATATAATGCCTGGCCCTGGCATAGGAGGAACTCAATAAATATATGTTGACTTGAATGGATTTGCTATTTTCCTACTTATTTTGTATATTTTTACACTCCATGTCATAACAGTGACATTTTGGGTCTTTCTTATATCTATAATATCTGCGATTGAAAAACACACATTAATCTCTGTGTGCATGGCACAGAGAGATTATGGGAATTGCCAGAATCTCCACCCCAAATTAAAATGTCAAAATCTGCAAAGTGCTTGGCTTTCTAAAAAGAGGAGTTCTTGAAATCCATTAACAAATAAATGCATCTTCATTTGTATTATAGTTGGTCTAGAGATGATGAGACAACATCTAATATACTTGAGGATTGCATTAGATGAATGGTAGGTCATTTTACACACTAAGATGCTCTTAATATGATTTGTTCACAATCTTTCTATTTTATTACAGCCGGGGCACCGACAATAGACTGACCCACCGGCGGCAGACAGTTCTTCGTGAGAAGGGGAGAAGGTTAGCTAACCGAGGACCAGCATACATGTTTAATGATCACTCAACAAACCTATCTATTGAGGAGGAACGCTTTTTAGATGCAGCTGAATATGGCAACATCCCAGTGGTAAGGAAGATGTTAGAAGAATGCCTCTCACTCAATGTTAACTGTGTGGATTACATGGGCCAGAATGCCCTGCAGCTGGCAGTGGCCAATGAACATCTGGAAATTACAGAACTTCTTCTCAAGAAAGAAAATCTGTCTCGTGTTGGGGATGCCTTACTTTTAGCTATTAGTAAAGGTTATGTTCGGATTGTGGAAGCCATTCTCAGTCATCCAGCTTTTGCTGAAGGCAAGCGGTTAGCAACCAGCCCCAGTCAGTCTGAACTCCAGCAAGATGATTTTTATGCCTATGATGAAGACGGAACACGGTTCTCCCATGATGTGACTCCAATCGTTCTGGCTGCCCACTGCCAGGAATATGAAATTGTGCACACTCTCTTGCGGAAGGGTGCTCGGATTGAACGGCCTCATGACTATTTCTGCAAGTGCAGCGAATGCAACCAGAAACAGAAGCATGACTCCTTCAGCCATTCCAGATCTAGAATTAATGCCTACAAAGGCCTGGCAAGCCCAGCTTACCTGTCATTGTCTAGTGAAGATCCAGTCATGACAGCTTTAGAGCTTAGCAATGAGCTGGCAGTGCTGGCCAACATTGAGAAAGAGTTCAAGGTAGGTCTTTAAGAGTCGAAGTCAAGGTATATTTACAAGCTTCCACTATGTACTCACACCCTGTTAGGTATCGTAGACAGTAGGCAATTTTACAAGCTCATTATTATATAGAGTAAAAGTTGTGATCACTACCATTTGGAGATGATCTACTATATACTAGACATTTTGCATTTATTATGTCTAATTCTTATCACAACCTTGAGAAGATCTTAGTTCCTTTTCAGATGCAGAAATGGAGGCATAGAAAGGTTAAGTAAGGCCCAAGATCCACAACTGGTAAAATGACAGAGCTGGGATCAGAATCCATGGATGCTGATCTCTAAAACCCAGATTCTGTCTCCTGTAAAACACTGTTTCTATATTCAGAGCATGGTGATAGCTGCTGTTGAGGTCAGAAAGATGAATATGATAAAGGAAGTCGTAGTTTGACTTGAGAGACAGATGCATGCATGCATAAATATGGTATAAAGAGAAATGAAACTACTAGATAGGGCTATAAGCTGTGTGCTGTAGCAGTTCAGAGAAAGCAGTATTTAATTCACATTAGGTGTCGGGGAAGTTACATGTAAAATGGTGTTTCAGCTGTATATGGCAGAATGAGTAGCATTTTGGAAGACAGAGAATGAGGGAGAAGATATTTTAGGCCAAGGTAACATCCAAAACAAAAGCTTGTAGATATGGAAGAAGTAGTCGCTTCGAGGGAAGTTTGAGCAGTCTCTGAATAAAAGGTAAGTGGAGAGATACCGTGTCAGATGCTGCCATTTTCCCCATGGTTTGTGCTACATCTGGAAAGGGTGAAAGTTCAGATTCCTAGTCTAAGGTCACACACATACACCTTTAAATTCCCTCCATAGGTTATCTGACCTGTCTTACAGTGTTCATCACGTTCTGCTGTACATTACTGTTATTTAGGGTGAGGTTTTCTCCATTACTCAGCTATATACTGCTTGGAATCAGGCCTGTATTCATCAAATACAGTATTACACAAAGATAAATATTGGTTTTATCTTCTCTGTTCTCTATGCTATGAGAAAGCATGTCTCTACATTCCACACTTTGGGGGTCTCTCCTGTGCAGTTTCTTGGTGCCTCTGTCATTGAAGGAACACTGTTAAACCCAGCATGGTATGTCATGTGCCCATCTATCCTTGGGTCCTATCCATCCAGGCAGGGAGGGGGAGGTAAATGGTGACTGGAACCTTTCAATGGCCCCCAGGATGGAGGATGCTGCTTTTCCTTTAGCTACCTGGCAGCTGAGGGTACAGGATAAGCAAATGATCACTTACAATCCTGTCTCAGTTTTTCCTACTTCTCACTTTACTCCCATGACTCAGTGAGTCAGAGAGCTATGCTATCTTCAATTAGAGAAGTTTCTTCAAAATCTGATTAATATTATTTTAAAATTTGTATTTAATTTTTTTGAAATTTCACTGCTTAGGTTTCAACATCTCTGTTTCTGTAATTGTATCTTTGTTTACACACTTCTCTAGACCACAGAAGAATATTACATTCTTAATTCATTCGTTCACTTGCTTACATCTTTTGAGCCCATGTTTGTACCAAATATTGTACTGGGGAGAGTTGAGAAGGGAGGATGGAGATGTAGCACAAACATAAAGACAATTCAGTCAGTAATCCTACCCTCAATTAGTCTGTATTCTAATAGGAGAGGAAAAGACCTGTGTGTAGGAACTATAATATAAGGCATGACCTTGTAGAGTGAGGGGGTGGGCAGGTGGGCCAAAGGTGAGAAGAATCACATCTAACCAGAATGTGAATTTTTCACTGTCCCTAAATGCATTGCATAATGTAAGAACCCCTTTAGGATTAAGAGGATTTAAGGATCCGGACGTTCCTTTATTTGTTCACCACACATTGTTTCTGCTCAGGTGGTGCAAGGTACATGGATCAGGCACTTTCCCTCCATTCATACTTTCTCTGTGTAGTTCCACTCTCTTTAGCAGCTACCTAGAGCCTCTACTCAGGCTTACTCTCTGCTTAATGCCCTGCCTCTGAAGGTTTGAAGGCAAATAAAAAACAAATCTCTCGGAAAACACATATCTCTTTAATAGTATTTTATCCCTAATATCTTTTAAAAATCCTTCGCAAATATTACATTAGTTTACTGTTAAAAGAGGATAGCAGTTCAGAAAAATGTTTTAAAAAGTATATCCTAGAACTCGACAATCAGCAGTTTTTCTAATTAGAAATTTGACTACAAAAGTTCTTGTATTACACAAGGAGAAAGGCCAGTTCTTGACTTTTTTTTAAAGAGTCTTTGGCAAATACAAAATAAAAAAGCACAAGGTTTTCTTTCTCACCAGACAGGACACTCTAAAACAAATATTTCATTCTCCAGCCTAGTTGGGTCCACAGAGGCAAGAACATCCTCATACGAGGATGAGCTGCCATTGCCTTTGTGTGTAAACTCAGGGAAAGCACATCCTCCATCCACCATCATCCACGGTGTTGTGATGCTAAACCTGTTCCCAGCAGCCCAGCCTCAGTTTACAACAGGATGGGACCTGACAGGGCTAAAGAGATTGGTGTCTCTGGTGAGATTTCTTGCTAAGTCTGCTGCTCTACTCTTCAAAAGTAACTTCTCTTTTCTTACTTTAAAAGGATACAGTTGATCCTTGAACAAAATGGGTTTGAAGAGTGCGGGTTCACTTATATGTGGATTATTTTCACTAAATATAGACTACAGTACTACACAATCCCAGGTTGGTTGAATCCATGAATGTGGAACTGTGAATACCGAGGGTCCACTGGAGAGTTACATGCAGGTTTTCAACTGCACAGAGGATGGGTGCTCCTAACCTCTGCTTTGTTCAGAGTATATGGTCATGTTAGAAAATAATAATATAAAAATGAAGAAAAGTTTAAAAATCATTTCTATTTTGCCACCAAGAAATAAACACTGATACTGCAAACATGTCAGCACATATCCTTCTATTTGTATTTTTAGTAGTCAAGTCCCTTAGAGTCTCAGGGAACAAAGATTGCAGAGTCTGGACCACCTGAGGCCTGGGATGCCTCACAGGGACCTGAGAGATTGTATTGGCCACAGGCAATCCTTTCTGCTCATGGTCTTCAAATTCTTTTGCTTCTTTTTCACCTGAAAGACATTTGAAAAATTCTGTGCTCATGTGCACATTTTAAAATTGACATCTAAATATTTTTATTTTTAAGTTTAAATATTTTTAAAAGATATAATTTCTGCATAGTGTAAATATTGACATTTAAAAATAGAACTCTTAGTGCTCCTTCAGATGTATCTAGGGGCCTTTAAGTGCTGTGATTTTATGCATAACATCACCTATTTTAAAAATAAGTAAACAACCTCCTTTTTAACATTCAGAATAGCTACATCTTTCCTTTTCTCCTTGAGCTTGTATTTCCAGTCCAATTTCCTCCACAAATATGATTCCTGATGTAATAGCTTTTTATTGTGTAAAGTCCTTTATAGATCACCCAATTACATATATATTATATATATGATATATATTATATAACACATATTAGCAGTATATTTGATCAAAACTACATAAGTTGAACATAATTTTTCAAAATAACAAATATGTACAAATTTTGAAAAGTAAACTTTAAATATATGACACAGTTCTTATTGGAAATGAATTTTTAATGGGATTAATCGTGTCCATACTTTTGTTGTGTAGTTAGTGAAAGAAAAAGTTATAGCCTGCTAAAATAACTTGATTTGTCAGCTATCATATTATTTTAGTTTTTGTTAATAGGATATATAAATTAATAAAATTAAATATAAATTATTTTATGTAATAAAATTAAAAGAGCTGACTGTAGTTGGAATAACTATTTCTTGATGTGATTTGATAACTGCCTTACTGAATTATCCACAATGAATCTGAAAAAAATCACATAAAAGTTTTATCCATGTGTTTTAGCCAATATCCTATGAAAATTTTGAGTCCTGGAAACCCTTCCAAATCACATTAAAAGGAATCATCCTCCTAACGTTTTCTGCCTTGCCCATTTGAGATGTCTTTCCTTTAAGCTAATAATACATCCAAAAGCTGAGTATTAATAATTTAAAAGAATCACATTTACATACATGAAGAAGTGATTTTTGTATTCAGTATTCCCTACTGATACCTTCTTTGCCATCCTCTCATTCAAGAAGGATGCATTCTTTGACAGTTGTTGAAGAATGAAGAGGCAAAGTACATTAAGCAAAAATTATCATTGTTCCTGTCACTACACTGCACCATACATCTAAATTTAGAACATCCCAACATGAACCAGCATGTTGTATTTCTATCATTAAACTTCATCTTCAACAGGAGTGTGTATTAGGGCAGGAAAATACAGGAAGCCCCTCAGGTCTATGGTACCTGGGTTAATTATTAAAGGGGAATTCTCCATTGTTTGCTACATGGGTGAGTGAGAGTGGGGAATTATTTTGTAAAGGGGTGAAAGATCTATTTTCAAGGAAATCAGTTTTAGGAAAGTTGAAGATCTGGAAATTTATTCCCTTAAAACTATCAGTGTTTTCTGGCCCCTTGGAAAGCCTTCACATATCTCTGTTCGGGGCTTCCCTGGTGGGGCAGTGGTTGAGAGTCCGCCTGCCGATGCAGGGGACACGGGTTCGTGCCCCGGTCCGGGAAGATCCCACATGCCGCGGAGCGGCTGGGCCCGTGAGCCATGGCCGCTGAGCCTGTGCGTCCGGAGCCTGTGCTCCGCAAGAGGAGAAGCCACAACAGTGAGAGGCCCGCGTACCGCAAAACAAACAAACAAACAAACAACAGGAACAAAAAAAACATATCTCTGTTTGAAGGCAACTAATATATTTTATGAGAGTTAGAGAATGAGAACTTTCACAAAGATTTTGTAAACTCCAATATATAGCTTCTCTAAGCTCCTCCTAAATTCTCCTTTTCCATAATTAACCCATAGTCCTTTAACAAAAGAGGCCGGAGTAGTTGCTACTGAATTCCTCAGGCAATTGTAGTCTTGCACCTT